TTTGTAGTCCCATGAAAATTTTAAGATTGTTGTTTTTGTTTCTATAAAAAATGTCATTGGTCACCAGGAGAGGTGGCACATACCTTTATCCCAGCATTTGGGAAGTTGAGACAGAAAGATTGCTGAGAGCTTGAGGCCAGCTTGAGCTACATAGTAAGCTCAAGGACCATCTGAACCACATAGCAGGAGTTTGCCTCAAAAAACCAATCTCCCACAAATGCCAACAAAATTTTAATAGAGGTATAGGAAATCTATAGATCATTTTGGCAGTATGGAAAATCTAGCAAAGTTAATTCATATAATCCAAAAACATGAAATATTTTTCCATTTTATTTCTGTCTTCACTTTTTTTTTGGTCTTGGTACTGGGGATCAAACTCACAACCTCATGCCTGCCGGGCAGATGCTTGTACCACAGAGCTATATCCCCAGCCCTTGTGTCTTCACTGTCTTCAACAAATGTTTTATAGTTTTCAGTGTACAAATTTTTTCTTTTTGATTAAACTTATTCCTATTTTATTTATCATTTAGCTATTATATATGATTATTTTCTTGATTTCTTTTTTCAGATAATTTGTTGTTAGTGTATACAAACTCTACTGGTTTTTGTATGTTGATTTTTGTATCCTACAATTTTATTGAACTCATCTATTAGTTCTAACATGGCTTTGTGGAGTCTTTAGCATTTTCTTTATTTAAGACCAGTTGTCAGCAAATAGGGACAAATTAACTTCTTTCTATTCCATTTGGGTGCTTTTTTAAAATTCCTCTTGTTTAATGACTTCGTTTAGGATCTGCGGTGTTATACAGAATGGACATTCTTGTCTTCTTGATGTTAGAGAAAAAGATTTAGGTGTTTCACTGCTGTGCATGATGTTAGTTGTAGGTTTGTCATATATGGCCTTAATGAGTTAAAGTCCATTCCTTCGATAATGGTGATACATTGTGTCAATTTAAGAAGTTTAACTAAGTGATTCAGTAGGGGGCCCAGGTCCTCACCTTGTAAACACCCTGAGCCTGTCCTAGAGGAGGGCATGAGGATGGTGTGAGTGATACACCCACCCTAGTTCAGGTGGCCTTCATACAGTATAAGGAGAAAAAGAGGCTTGCTCCTCCTTTACTCTTGTTGGTTTTGCTGTCTTTTGCTTCCATAAACTGTTGCCCCCGAGCCGTGTGCCATTCTGCTTTGGAGACAGCTGATTATGCACTGAAACTTTACAAACTGTGAGCTAAATAAACCTTTCCTTCTTTAACTGTGGGTGTCGGATATTTTGTCTCAGCAATGATGGCAAAGTAATTGATAACTTCTAAATCTAATCTGTGGATGAATTTTGTCAAACGTTTTTCTGGTAACTACTTTGCCCTTCATTCTGTTAATGTGGTGATTTGCATATGTTAAACCATCCTTGAAAGCCAAGAATAAATTCTACTTGATGGTGGTGAATGATTCTATTAAGTGTTATTTGTTTTGATATGTGTTACTTTGATTTGATAAAACCTGTTGACTGTTTTTACATTTAATTACCAGCAATTTTCCTTTTTTATTTTAAAAAGTAAACTGGGAAAGAGGATAGAAATAATACAGATTTTTTTAGAAAGTAGGAAATTAACACTAATTAATATGTTGCATATTGTTATCTTAGAAGTAGCTGTTCAGGTTACAAGATTTAGGTACAAAAAATGACCAAACCATCAAACAACAAAAGTACAAACTGTTCTTTTGGATGAACTAACAAAGCTTAACAGTATAGCTGTTTCTCTTGCATATACATCATACATACATACATACGCGTACATGTATACCTCTATACATATAATCTTTCCCTCCTTCCCTCTCTCCTTTCCCCATCCTGGTTGTTCTTTCCTTTTGAGCACTTTCTTTCCCTTTCATTATGATAATATCTATTGTACATTTTGGATCTTATTCTTCTTTCAAGTTGTTTTTTATGCTAGGGAGACAAAACAATATTTACAAATGTGAGTTTGATTTATCTCACTTTTAAGTATTATCTCAAAGTTGCCTCCATTTACTTATAAAAGCTTCAAGATTATCCATCTTTGTAGCTGAGTAATATTCCATTGTATAAAAATACGACACCTTTTTTTATCCATTCCGTGGTTGATGGGCATTTGTGTTGCTTCCAAGATTTAGCTATTACAAATTGTGCTGCTATAAAGTCAACACTCAAAAATCAACAACATTCCTGTACACAAACAACAAACTCACTGAGAGAAAAATTATGGAAATAACACCTTTCACAATAGCATCCAAAAAAATGAAATGCTTAGGAATCAACCTAACAAAGAGTGTAAAAGATCTATCCATTGAAAACTATAGTACTCTAGGGGGCTGGGGATTTAGCTCAGTGGCATAAGCGCCTGCCTTGCAAGCAGGCAGTCGTGAGTTCGATCCCCGGTACCGATAAAAAAGAAAAAGACAAAAAAAGAAAGAAAGAAAGAAAACTATAGTACTCTAAAAAAGGAGATGGAAGAGGATGTCAGAAAATGGGAAAATATCCCTTGCTCTTGGTTGGGAAGAACCAACATAGTAAAAATGGCCATTCTCCCAAAACTGTTATACAGATTTAATGCAATTCCAATTAAAATACCATTAACATAGCTCACAGATCTAGAGAAAACATTTCTAAAATTCACTTTGGAAACAGAAGAGACCTAGACTAGCAAAGGCAATCCTGAGCAACAAAGGCAAGGCAGGAGGTATCACAATCCCCGACTTGAAATTATACTAATTTTCCTTTCTTACACTATCCTTGTCTGGTTTTGTATTAGGTACTGTGGGCCTCACAAGTTTGGAAGTATTCCTGGTGTTTTTTCCTATACAAGTCTGAGGAAGATTGACCCCAGTATTTTAAATGTTTAGTAGAACTCAGCAGTGAGGTCCCCAGGCCCTGGGCTTTTCTTTAGTAGGAGGATATTATTACTTATCCAACCCCCTTCTCATGATTGGTCTGGTGAGGTTGTTTTCAAGTTTCAGTCTTGATTATATATGTGTTCTTAGGAATTTGTTCATTTTTTAAAGTTATTTATTGGCATGTAATTGTTTATAGGAGTCTCATATTCTGTTGTATTTCTATGATATCATTGTAATATCTTTTTATACTTCTATTTGAGTCATCTTTTTTCTCAGTCTAACTAAATGTTTATTGATTTTTTAAAAGCCAACTCTCATTAATTTTTTCTACTGTTATCTGGTCTCTCTTTTATTTCTGCTCTCTTTATTATCTCATTTTTCTGCTAACTTTACCCTTATTTTGTTCTTCACTTTCTAATTTTTTGAGGTATAAACACTGGGTTCTTTGAGATCTTCTTTTTGGATAAGTTTTTACTATAAATTTTTCTATTAGTTTTGGTATGTTGTATTTTCATTTAATATTTGTTTTGGAGTCTAAATGCTGCTTTGGGTGGAATGTTCTGTACATGTCTGTTGGTGCAGTTCAAAATCAGTGTTTTCTCATTTATTTTGCCTGTATTATCTTTTTCACATTAAACATAGGTAAGGCTGCTACTGCTATTTGTGGCAGTTTATCTTCTCATTCAGATCTTTTAATATTGCTTTATATAACACTAAGTTCCAACACTGGATGCAAGAGTACTTATTGTTCTAACTTGTGGATGGATTGACCCCCTTTATGATTGTCTTTGTCTTTTTTTACAGTTTCTGGTTTATAGCCCATCTTACCTAATGGAAGAATAGCCGTACCCTGTCCCTTTTGGTTGCCACTGGCATGGAATATCTTTTTGCACTGTTTCACTTTCAATCTATCTGGGCCTTTACAGGCAAATTGAGTCTCTCATAGGTAGCTGGCTGGGCTGGACTCTGGAAAGTCCCCTGAAGGACCACCTGCTAATAGCTTTGTTTTGAGTTTGGCACTATTGAAAGGTATTGAAGCTTTAGGAAGTGGAGCCTAATGGAAGAACATTAGGTCATGAGGGTGTGTCTTGAAGGGGGTACGGGGAGCCCCAGCTCCTTCTTTCTTTCCTCCTGCCACTATTTCTTGCCACCGTTAGGTAAACATGTGTCCTCTACCCTGCATTTCCACCATAATATACTGTCTCACCACAGGCCCCAAAGCCACAGGGCCACACAACCTGAAGGCCGAAACCATGAGCCAAAATAAATCTTTCCACCTACTGACTTGACTAGATCAGCTATTTTGTCACAGTGACAGAAGCTGACTAATACAGCAACGTACAACTGAGTCTTGTTTTTCTTTTTAAAATTCATTCAGTCACTTTATATCCTTTGGATAGAGAAATTACTCCATTTATACTCAAAGTAATTAATTATTACTTTGTAAGGACTTACTATTGCCATTTCGTTTTCTGTTTGTTTGTACACCTTTTGTACCTTTCTTTCTGTCTTCTTTTATTATTAGATGGTGTTCTGTACCATACGTTGAGTTTTTACTTCTTCTTGTATGTATATCTACTATGGGTTTGGGATTTGTGATGACTACGAAGATTACAGAAAACATCTCTCAGTTTTAACAGGCCATTCTGAGCTGATAGCAACTTAATTTTGATCACATTAAAAATTACTTTTGTTCTCCTGTACATTTTTTGTTTTTGATGTTACTACTTTGACCTTGTTAGATTGATTGCCCCTTAATAAATTATTGTAGTTATTACTTTAAGGGTTTGCCTTTCAATTTTCATACTAAAGATGTATGTAATTTATAAATTATCATATTACTGCATTACTGTCTTCTGGATTTGAGTACATACTCATTTTTAATCATTGAGTTTTATGTTTTTATGTCATTAATTAGCTCCTTTTACTTCATTCTGAAGAACTCCCTTTGGTGTTCCTTGTAAAACAGTTTAGCAGTGATAAACTCCCTCACCTTGTGTTTGTCTGGGGCAATCTATCTTTCCTTCATTTCTGAAGGGCAGCCTTGCCAGCTAGAGTTTTCTTTATTGGCAGTTTTTGTTTGTTCTCTTTCACTACTTCAAATATAACATCTCACTCCCTCCTGACCTAAAACTGTGGGATATTTTATGAACTTGTATGTCATTGATGAGAAGGGGTCATGCTAATCTTCTCTATAATATCCAAATTTTAATATATGTGTCACCAAAGCGAGCACTTGCATTTTTTGCTCCTGTATCATCCCAGGACATATTATCCGGCCATTTGTTTATCTGAAGGTATCTTTATGTTCCCCTCATTTTTGTATAATACTTTCAATGGACATAGAATTATAGGTTTCCAAGGTGCTGTCCTTTAGTACTTTAATACTGTTATCTTCTGGCCTTAATTGTTTCTAATGAAACCTATCTTTGTCTGCTTTTCATATTTTCTGGTCATTTGTGTTTTCAGGAGTTTAAGTTTGCTGATCCTATATATTGTGTTCTTTGCCTTCATCTTGTTGGAAGTGTGTTGAACTTTCTGGACCTATGGGATTGTGGAAGTTGTTCTTATTTTGTTCTATTTTTGTGCAGAATTAATTTTGACAGTGTGTAACCAACATTAATTCAGATGCCTTTTTCTGACCTATTTTCTTGTTCCTCTCTGACTTGAGGTCCAGTGGTTCATTTGCGGAACCACGTCACAGACTCTCAGATCACCAAGGCTCAGCCAGTTGCGCTCAGCATCTCTTCCTTGTGGTTTTATTTGGGGGATTTCTCTTGGTCTGTCTTCCAGTTCACTGAGCCAGTTTTCCTTCTCCAACCTAGAATGATATATTCTAATGCTTTTTTTTTTTTTTTTTTACATTTCAGGTTTTAATTTTTTCAGTTCTAGAATTTCATTTTAATTCTTTTCACGGTATTAATATTCTCAAAGTTCCCATCTTTACACATTAAATACATCTTTCCCTACATATTTATTATATTTATCATAGTTATTTTAAAGTTCCTTGCTTTGGTTCATTTAGACTACTATAACAAAAATATCTTAAACCAGGCAGCTTATAGATAATAAAACCTTATTTCTTGCCATTTTGGACACTGGGAAGTCTAAGATCAAGGTGGAGCAGATAACATGCTTTGTGAAAGCCTGCTTCCTCATAGACAGCAATTGCTTTCTTGCGTGTCTTCATATCGTAGATGGGTTAGCTACCTTTCCAGAGTCTCTGTTACAAGGGCACTAATCCCACTCATGAGGTCTTTATCCTCTTGACATAAGTACATCCCCAAAGCCCTGCTTCCCATACTGCCACACTCTTGTCTAGGTTTTAACATATGAACTTCAAGATGATGCATATATTCAGATTTTAGCCATTCCTTTCAGCTAGTTTCATTATCTGGTACATTTATCACTTCGCTTTTATCAACTGATTTGTCCCTTGACTGGATTACATTTTTTCCTGTCTTTGCATATATCTTGCAATTTAAGCAATTTTTCTTATGCATTGAGAACTCTGAATTCTGCAGTTTCTCTGAACAGTATTAACTTTTGTTCCAACAGATAAATTATCAACAGATCTCCTTGGCCTTGTAGGGGTTTGGTTTCAGGCTTTAGGGGTTAGAGTAGGCCTTGTCTGATTTTTCTTTTTATCCTTCAGTGAATTCCTTAATCCTGGAATGTGTTATTTAATGTTAGGATATGGCCTCTTAGTGCAAAGGTTGAGGTCCTTTAAGGCCCTCTCAGGTGATAAGATTCAAGTTTCAAACTCTGCCTCTGTGATGGGCAGCTACTGAATCTTCTCCTCAGTGGTTTTCTTCAGACTTCTAGTTATTATTTTGCTAAAGGCTTCTTGAAATTCCACCCCATACATTCAAGGTTTAGGTGTCAACCAAGAATTTTAGTGGAATCAGTATACGGGTTTGGGAGCTACTCTTTCCGTTTCTTCCTTTCTGGGGTTTCTACTCTGATTTCTAGCTGCTTTGGGAAGTCTAACACTATTACCTGACTCCTCTGTATGCCTGAGCTTTCTGCTCAAAGAACCTACCAGGACTATCCTCAGGTCAAAAGCTAGGTAAAGCTTCTCTCATCCGTTGTGATTCCCTTCTGTCAAGGCGGGGTCAAATCTCCTGTTTATGCCTGATTTTGATCATTTTCCATTACCGTTAAGCTGGGTTTTTTCCTGGTTTGTCCAGAGTTTATAATTAGTATCCATAGGAATGTGAGTATAATACAAGTATCTCTGCCTTCACACTCAGGTGGGAATCTCCTGATTTTTCATTTTTTAAAAGAAGATAATATCTACTTAATGCTGGCCTTCCCTGTCTGTGTGAGAATTAAATATAACTATGTTTCAGTTCATTTGTGCTGTTATGACAAAATATCTGAGGCTAGGTGACTTATAAAGTAAATAGGTTTACTTGGCTTATGATTCTGGTAGCTGGAACATCCAAACACTGCCAGCATCCTGGTGAGTACTCCTGACTACATTGCAGTGTGGTAGAAAAACAGAAAAGGAACCAGCTCTGTGGCAGCATAGACCACACATGTGGGATGAACTCAGTTTATAATAACCCACTCTCAATAATCTAGTTCTATGAGAGCTACACTCCCCTGAGACAGCATTAACCCATTCATTAACCCCCAGCAGGCCTCCACTTTTGCAGGTTCCACCACCTCACAACACCACCACACTGGGACCCATACTTCCAACACACAGGCCTTAGGGGACACATTCAAGCCATATCCAGACCTTGGGAAGAGAGGCGTACAAAGTTCCTGACACAGACAAACGTTCAAGACATTTGGATTCCTTCCCTTAGGTTGACTTAACTTCTTCTTCCTTCATTAATCCTCACTTTGCAATGTGGGTCCAACCTGCAGAGGTCTAACTTCCTTCCCATGTGGCAGACCTTTGGGAATTTGATGAGAGATCTGATCTTGCACCTGTAAGTCTTCATTATTTTTAAGCTAAAAATTCTTCTTCTCCCGCTGTTTTTCAGCTCCTGGGTTTTCTTTGGGAAACCTAAAGTTTCTTTAACCATCCTAGTATATTTCTTTATTAAAAAATGTTTTAAACTCAAGCTCCAATTCTGACGTTTCTGCCAACTTCTGAGTTTCAATATTTCCGTCTGAAAAATGGCATTGTAATTGGGAAGGGACGAGAAAAAGTCTCCCCTTCTGAGGTTCTTGCTGGCATTGATGGAAGGATTGGCACTCCCTTCCTGGTGGTGAGGACGAGTTGAGAAGGGCTGTTATAATCGCGGAAGGCTGGTGTAGTGGCCATGAGGGATTCAGACCTTTGTCTTTCTGCTTTACCATCTGCAGTGTGGCTTCCTTTTCAAGGTCACCTGCTGGTGCAGTTTCCCTGCCAGTGAGGCTTTGATGAGTGTTCTAAATTACTGAGGGCAGTCACATATTCCTCTTGTAGGTTTTTCTTTTCTTCCAAAGACCGTAGAGGCTATTCTCACCTGAGAAACCTATATTTTTCCTGTTATTACAACTTTGACCCAAATAATGCTGGTGTTTTGATGATATGGAAGTATTTTCTTCCATCTTGAGCTTCTCTCTGTGAAACACTAAGATCAAACAGTATATTCCCTCAAATTTTCTTTGATGCCAAAACTTGTTTGGGAGGAGGGGGAATAGTAACCATTTGTTTATTTTCCAAATGAGAGAAAGTACTAGCAAAGGTCTACTCTTCCTTTACAAAGTGCTTACTCCAAGTGAGTCGGGTGGTCATGAAATTTACTGTCCAAAGCAGGGTATTTTGAATGAGAAAGAATGAGGTAGTACAATATTGTGCTATGATTATCCCAGGAAAATTGTAATGTGTATGGCATTGTGCTCTTGGATATAATAGAGTCGGACTTCTTATAAAAGTGGCTCACATTTTATGAAAACACGTTAGACAGCCAAATCAGCAGATATACAGCTGAAAGTCTTTTTCTTCTACAGAGACTTCTTTTCTTGGAAACTGTGTTGTCAGGTGACTCACTCCACTACTGCTGGGGCTTAGATGGAATTGCCTGAGCCAGCCACCAGAGAAAAGGACCAGTGTAATCATTTTTATCTCAGGCACTCAGCTAGTAAGGCAAAGACAAGCTCAGATCACCTTTATGGAAGTCAGGGGCTCACTGTGCCCCATTGTGCTATCGGCCTAGCTAATATCTGTTTACTCACACAAGCCCTGCAAAAGGTCACTGCCCTCCCTGCAGAGGTACTAGTTTGCATGTAATGGAGCTTCAAAGTGATCCTCCTCTTTTCTAGTTCAGTTTAGCCCCAGTTCTGGCCCCAACCTAAATTCCAAACAGAATATTCCAGAAATATACTTGTGAGGCTCATCTTGCTTTTTTCTGAACAAATGTTTTTGATGTCTTGCACCTTTTCAGACAGCTTTTTTTTGCATGCAGAAAGTCTTCCAAGTTTCTGTCTTGTAAGATGATATTCATTCTTCAAGCCTCAGTCTGAACACCACGGACTCTGTGAAGCCCTTGCTGGTTTTCCTCCCCTTCGCTAGTCTATGTTAGATCTCAGAACCAATTAGGATTTGTTATGCTAATTTAATCTTCAAAAAACGTGGCAGTGGTTTAAACAAGGCTCTATTTATCTGTCACATAGAAGTCTGAAGGTCAGTAATCCAAAACTGGTATAGTGGCTTTTTTGTGCCATTAGGAATTTAGGCTCTTCACAGTGTGGCTTTCTATTCAAGGTCATCTAATGGTCCAAGACAGCTGTGGAGTTACAGCTGTCCATATGACAGTTGAAGAAAAAATAGGAGGGAGACAAATGTTTTTCTAGCTAATCAGGTCCTTCTTGCACTAAAGCCATGAATTATATGGCAAGATTATTCATTATGTTAAACCAACCTTGAATTCCTAGAATTAATCTACATTGGTCAAAGTGCATTATCATTTATTTATATTGCTTGATATCTCTTTGGATTTCATTTGTTCTTTTTTCTAGTTTCTTAAGACAGAAGATGAAGGCATTGATTTGAGACTATTATTTCAATATAGGAATTTAACTTTATAAATTTCTTTCTAAGTACTACTTTATAGGATCTCACACTTTGATTTGATACATTTCCATTTATAATCAGGACAAACTGTTTTGTTTGTCTTTCTGTGTCTTCTTTGAGCTACAGGGTATTTACAAACATTAGCTTCCAAATAGTTGGAGATTTTCCATATATCTTTTTGTTATTGATGTTTAATTTAATCTAATTATAGTTTTAGAATA